CTCTCTGTTGAGGCTGTTGCGCAGCGGCCGGGCTGAACCCTAAGGGAGCCCGCGGGTATTGTGGGCTCCTGGGAGGCCGGCTGCAAATTCGGATAAACTCGCGTTTCTCGTGGCATTCTGCTTTGAAGCCTGCGGCTTTTGGGCCGCAGAGCTGCCAGGCGGCTTAGATAAACCTTGGTGCTGAGGTTCTCGCCATGGGGGCATGTCTGTGGCTGAAGTGTGCTGAAACCATGAGCTGGGCAGCTCTGCTGGTTACCAGCACCCCGAAAAAAAGGGCATTGAGGAGCAGAGAGCCAAGCAAAGCTGCTGTATATGTGTATGTACATGAGAGCATATGGTACCTGTGCTATAACGGAATATATGGCCAACCTTTGAATTAAGAGCATCACCAACCCACTGGCTGGTAGGATGCAGCTAACAGTGTCAGGCTGGTGGATGGCAGTACCTTTAGTTATGCATATGGGCAAGGTGATGGAGCATCCAAGAAAATGACCTGGCTTAATAGCAAACTGCTGTCTTTAATGCTAAAAATAAGACAGCAGAATTTATGGAGACTTTTAAATATTAGTAATCTGGGGGACTTGGAGGGATTTACCTGACTTTGTAATAAAACTTCTCATGCATTTACTCTGTCTGCTAAAATATAAGTGCATGCATATTTGAATGCACTTTGTAGGTGCATAAAATTATTCGGGACGAGTGATTTGTCAGGTGTCTTCTTTCTATCAAGATACAAAGCAGCACCTATATTTTAGTCTGTATTGTAGTTGAAACTAAAATGTTAATTTGTTATGTCTTGTGGGAAACTGCAGAAATTTGCTTGAATTATGGTCCCCTTGTTATCATCTTCAGGATTGTTGTTGACTTCATTAGGTCTTATAGCTCACACTTAAAACTGGAAGTATGATGTATTTTATTTGAATACTGTAGGTTCTTGTGATGTTTTCAGAGACATTTAATTTGTTTCTTTTTCGTCTTTTGCTGTTTAATGGTTTTTACTTGTGTAGTTGGGAATTCTGACATGCATGTAAATTAAGTAAATTTTCTTCAATTTGAAGAGTATAGTTTCCTTTGGTTCCATACTTATAGTTCTCACTAGAGAGTTTTTTCCCTGAAATTTCACAGATTACAATGACTTCACCAAATAAAGCATTGGAGCTACAACTGCAAATTAAGCAAAATGCTGAAGAGCTGCAGGATTTTATGAGAGAATTAGAGAGCTGGGAAAAAGATATTAAGCAGGTGGATTCTGAACTACGGAAGCAAAGTGGTGTCCCAGAAGAGGTAAAATCACAAGTCCAGTGTGAATATTAACACAGTGACATGAGTGTCATGACAGTGTTTCTAATAGTTGCTTGCTTGCTTGCTTGTTTCCTTTTCCCTCATGTAATGATGTAGAATGATGCAGATGTAGAAACATACTCATTTTGCAAGTGTTTTATTTGAGATAGCCCAGTTTACTTCAGCAAAATTACATGTATTGACATAAAATACCTGCATAGGTCATTTGAGCTAAGGGAGCTGTTTGGTTGCTCTTGATCCAGGATTTCTCATAACTGCTTCGCCAACGGAGCGGTGGCACAAGCAGCTTATGAGCTGATGGATCCTTGAGGTCAATACATTTTTAAACAGTTACAAGTAGATCTAGGAATATTTCCTTCTGCAGCTTCAGTGTTGCTTATTTATTGCTGACTTGAATATATTAATCATATTGCATGGTGATGTTTTTACTGGTTTTGTAGAACTCAGAACCACTTTTTTGTTAGGGTTTCTAAAATAAAATTAACATTTAAAGAATGAACTTTGACTCACTTATTTTAAAACTTACAACTCTGTGGTTCATGCAGGAAAAAATATTTTTCTTTGTAAATATTTGAAAACTCGAAGTTGCCAAAGATCTTTGCAGATGATGGCAAAGAACTGTTTTGAGCTTGCAGGAATGATGCATCTCTCACTCAGTCTTCTGCAAAATAAGCAGCTTTTATGCCTCTCCTTTATAATAAATTACCACTTTCAATTTAGAATTTACCACCAATTAGAAATGAGTCTTTTAAGAAAAAGAAGAAAAACAAAACCAAAGTCCCTTCTAAGAAAACTACTGAGGAAAACAAGAAAAACAAGATCAAGTCCTACGATTATGAAGCATGGGGAAAACTAGATGTGGTGAGTCAGAATATCTGCTTGTTGCCTTTGTTGTTGGGTCCCCAGTTGGTTTTATTTTAATTTGGATTTTGTCTAAATTAAGCTTGCAGCAATAAAACATCAATATCTTATTGTGTTGGATACTGTGTAAACATAGAAAATTGCTTTTTCTCAAAAGTTATGTGTTAAATGCTCAAAAGTTGAGCTATATTGCTATCTAAGTTAACAATACGTCTATCAAAAGGTCATAATTCTAGTACAGTGTGACAGGACACACCAAGCAATATTGGAGGATGCATCCTTGTAGAATTTTTCTCAATGAGAATTCTTTAAGTAGTAGACATTTTTAAAGATGCACTATTTATTCTCATAAAGTCCTACTTCATTTATTTTATATTGTTAAGCTATAGCAAAAATAATAGTTTATTTTATTCTAATTTAAGGATAAAATACTCGAAGAACTTGATAAAGAAGATAGTACTCATGAGTCCTTATCTGCAGAATCAGACTCTGAAGAAGATGGCATTCGTATAGATGCAGAAAAGGCTCTTGCAGAGAAGGAAAAGGTTATCACTCTATAAACATTCCTTATTTACAAAATAGAATTTAAACAAACCTTTTTAATTGATTTTAAAAACTGTCAACTGAGACAGCACTTCTGGTGGGAGGATTGTGCCTGTTCTTCTGATTCTTTGTCTATTTTATTACCTTTTTTTAAAGTATAAAGTTCTTGACTATCCCAGATTACTAAATCTAGTTGCAAAAAAAGCAGGCCTACAGTTCCGGAAAGATCCTGAAAATAAGGTGATATTAAATCCTTTTTATTGCATAAGTGGTGAAAAAATATTTAATATGGGATGTTTAAAGTATTTAGGTTAAAAGAAACATTTCGAGGTAAAGCAGTGCTTCGTGAGTGATATTAAATGAGAACATGAGCATTCTAAAATTTAAGGCTTGGATTTTTTTCTTTGTTTTGTTGGTGAATTTTTTTTTTTTTTAGCCTAAAAATAATGACATATTAGTATACACTAACTTATTAAAATGACATATCTTTTTAATATTCACAGGGTAATAAGTACTTTAAACAAGGAAATTTTGATGAAGCAATAAAATGCTATACTCGAGGGATGCATTCTGATCCTTACAACCCAGTATTACCCACAAACAGAGCATCTGCCTTTTACAGAATGAAAAAGTAAGATACGTATTATTACATCTTTAATGTTTTCTTTTTTGAAATACTGCATTGCTTCAGATTTAGTTTTGTCTTTGTCTTGATTATCTTATTAATAATCATGCTGTAATATGAAAGTGTATGTAGGTAATGGCCACAAACTGAAACTCCAAAAGTTCCACAGGAACTTAAGGAAAAAATTCTTAACGGTGAGAGTGACAGAGCACTGGAACAGGCTGCCCAGAGAGGTTGTGGAGTCTCCTTCTCTGGAGATCTTCAAAACCTGCTTGGACACAGTCCTGTGCCACGTGCTCTAGGTGACCCTGTGTGTGCAGGGAGGTTGGACTAGATGATCTCTAGAGGTCCCTTCCAACCTTAAGCATTCTATGATTCAGGACTGCAGTCGCAGAGTGCTTTGCAGTTTCAAACTAAAATTGAGTTTGCCAGGGTAAAGAATCTAGTAGTTTCTCATTTTTTTTTCCATTTTCATGCCAGAATTTTAATATCTCTGTTATTAATTATATAAGAGATGGAAAAGAGAAATAGAGAAAAATCACTGTGTAATTTGCTCTTTACATTCTGTTAGCACTGTTTCTAAGGCTTTAATTTCTTTCGGGAGGGGAAAAGGGTATGATGTAGTTGGTTAAATGTAAGTTGGTTAAGTTATGAAGCATGCAAAATTTCTGCTTTGGAGAAAATTCGTAAAACTTTGGGTTAGGCTAACTTGCTGAAGTTTGAGGTTTTTTCAAGCTGACTCATTCACATTATTTATAGATATTCTGTTGCAGAATCTGATTGCAATTTAGCACTTGCTCTAGATAAAAATTACACAAAGGCTTATTCCAGAAGAGGAGCTGCTCGCTTCGCTTTGAAAAATCATCAAGGAGCTAAAGAAGGTGGGTCTCTCATACATTTGCTATATTACATACAATTTAATCATATATCTACTTGATTAAAGTTTATTTTGGCAGGAATTTATTTTCCATTTTCTATAAACAAAGAAATAAAATAACAGATTTCATGTTTCTGATAAGGTAAAATTCAAGAAGAATGTCCAAAAGATTACTGTATCTCTAGACAGCTCTGGAATAAATCAGCTTCAAATGTCTTAGAACAATACATTCTTTGTAATATCTCCAATTCTTTATGCACTCCACAAAATGGCTATTTCAATGGATACTTGTATTTTATGTTCCATTACCTAACCTCTAATTTACACCTGAAACACAGTTTTCTGATCTTCTTATAGATTATGAAAAAGTTTTAGAACTGGATGCCAACAACTTTGATGCAAAAAATGAGCTGAAGAAAATTTACCAGGTAATAAGAGTAATAGTTGCTTACATAAGTTAATACACAGTATTCAATTCGTATCTTTATCAACTTATAGCAAAAATGGAATTCAGCAAAATCAATCGAGATTTTTCTTGCATTTGAAGTTTACTGAGACCAAGTTCTGTAATTTGTTTTAGTTAAGCTGGCATGTATGCATATGTTGGTGGAATGATAGGTTTGCATACTAAAAGCAGATGTGGGCACCCATGCTGACCTCCGTCCAGCCCTTACCCTGGTTTTTTTTTATTATTTTTTTTTTCCCTTCAAATGTTTTTTCTACCTCCTGTATCGTGTTTTTTTTTTTTTTTTTTCTCTCTCTCTGGTCATGCTAAGCATTCAAATACAAACTGCAGGGTCTCACTGCACATGTGATAACGTGTATATTCTCTTGGACACTAATTAATGCCAACTGTTAGCATGCTTGTAGTTCCACTGATTCTTATGGCATGCTAAGCCGGAGCATGGTTTAAGCCTCGCAGAACATCATAGCCTGCTGCAAGTCTGAGAATGCTGATTGCAATGACTTTAGTAGCCTGTACTAGGGGACAAATAGCATTAACATATGAACATTCTTATACTTTAACTGTTGTTTTGAAAAGCTGGAGGAAGTGTCTTTTTCTTGCCCAAAAGGAAGACCCAAAATCATTAATAACTTTTTTTTTTTTAATTTTAAAC